TTGTAAATAGCCAACTGGTTAGCGTCCCACCAGTTGGGATTCTTAACAGTCAAGTTTATGTTCAATTTACAATATTTTGTTTGTTGATTTACAGTGTCCACAATTACCACAGCAGTGCAAAATTCACTGACACTTTATTTTTTAACATACTGGATCTTTTCCTTGTGTCTTGCAGCCTAAAGAGACAGTTGTAACACGATGGAAGTCAGATGAGTGGTCACGAGGCTCTTACTCCTATGTGGCAGCTGGCTCATCAGGGAACGACTATGACCTAATGGCATCCCCAGTAGCCCCTCCCGCAGTGGCAGGGATGCCACCAGGCAACCCTGCCCCACCCAACCCTCCAAGAGTGTTCTTTGCTGGAGAGCATACAATCAGAAACTATCCAGCTACAGTACATGGAGCGCTATTGAGTGGTGTGAGAGAGGCTGGTAGAATTGCGGACCAGTTTTTAGGACTTCCTTATGAAGTGAACAGAATTGGTCAGACGCCTATGACACAACCATAACAGCCGTCAAGTTTAGCAGAGGCATTCTATGTTAAAAGGAAGGCAGGCAACAACAGCAGTTTCCAGACTGGATGCAAACTATTAAAGAGAGCTGCTTTATCTCTCTACTAGACATGTGTAACTAGAGGCACAGTGATACCAATGATGCGTCCCCTTGACAAGGTTGTTCAATGGCCAGTGTATCACAACAGCATTGGCTTTTGATGACAATTATTATTCTCATGACGTTGTACATACTAACTTTTAGTCATGTAGTCTTCGACGTGATTGTGGAGTGGCTGTCATGCACTTTTTGCAGAGTCAATCATCGAACCACATGATGCAATCAAAAACACTTTATACAACATTATCTTATTTATCTGACTTTTTATAAACTATACCCACAAAGCTGACAGCAGCCCCGTGAAGTGAAGAACACTCGAGATAGAAATATATTCAGCATGTAACCCATGGTCAGGCCTTTTTGATGTTACATAAGAAAGGACTAGGAGTGCACAAACGATTACTCTCGGCATTTCAGATGATTTCAGGGAAGACGTGACTATGGGTTGTGTGTCCTTGGAAAGACTGAACATGCATACATTCTAGGGTTTATCATCAATTATCAGTGAGTTATGTGCACTCTTCGTTGTTGTTGTTCCTGCTGAAAGCTCTCTTCTCAGAGAGGAACAAACTCAGCATAAGATAGAAGCAGAAATCAAGCCTACATACATGTACACCATATTCTTTCAGAGAAAATTTCTTTACTGATCTTTCAGCGAGTCACAAGTCGCTTATTTGCTTTTCTGTTAAGTTGCCCACACCCTACTTTGTTTAAAGCCTTTTTGGGGTATGGGGAAGCAACTTTACAAGACTTTGTTATGAAAAGATGTGTATAGATCTCTACTCCTTTCCATATTACTTCACATCATTATTGAAAAAATGTAGATTATTATTTATTACAAATAAAGAAAAATACATATTGAGAAAGAACTGTTTGCATTGACTGACAGTTGAATCTAAATCACTCACTCACTCACTGCCCCTAAACACAATGTCACACAAAAGAGTACTGAATAACAGCTGAAACAAGCTCAAATATGTGTGATTATCATTCTTTATTTTGATTGGTCGAGAGATTACTAAGTCACCTCCAAATAGAGTACTAAAGTCATGACATCACAAAATTATAATTTGTGAAATTATGAAATTTGATCAGCTATTCAGAGGGAGTATGCCCAAAAAAACGTCCACTTGCCAAAAATTAGCTCTCCATTGCAATTTGCGGCCGAGATATGGGCACTTCAGGTTTTAATTTCTCCATACAAACCCTTCTAATTTTGCATCTGTTCCTTCAGTTTAGAACAGGTGCAAAATTAGAGAGGTTTGTATGGGACGGTACCAAACTTTTAACCTCTATATCTCAGCCGAAAATTGCAATGGATAGCTAATTGGCACGCTTCCTCTGAATAGCTGATCAAATTTCGCAAATTTGAAAATTTGTGACATCACACTTTACCACAGTATTTATAACTTCTACAAATAATACCCTGCTCATGCGCATTGCCATGTCAGTTGCTGGAGGTAATATACTGCTTGTGTGCAGTCCGTACCATCCACTTCTGCGCGAGGAGTGTGTACAAAGTGCGAGCCAGTAAGCAAGCCATGCAAGTCCAGAAATCCCTAACCCCAATATAAAGACTAACCACAAGCTTCCTAAGCTAACGTAGGCTAACTGGAATGTCTAAACAGAATGTTCAGAGTGCTATTTTAATTTATAAGGCTAACCGTAGTGCTTATTTAGGCTAACCGGAGTGTTACTTAGGCTAACCGGAATGGCTGGCTCACACTTTGTAAGACCCTTGTGAAGGCAGTGCATACTTTCTACAACCTCTTAGAAGTACAGAAAAATTGTGAAAAACAAGCTCACTGATGGAATGATTAAACAAAAGTTGAACTCAGCTCTCACAAAATGCCGTGATTTGTCCGTCTGTCGAATCAAATTATTGCCTCTACCTTCAGCATTGGCAAGTAATGGATTGCTCGCCACCAACCTCATCCAATAATTGCTCCTAATTTGTTTAGTTATTTGTCGAGTGCTATTTAGTTGCCATGGAAACTATGTTCATCCCATTATCCTGTCATGCTCCCTTCATTTAATTTTTTCCATATGGTAAGTTGAATAATCTCTTACCAAGTTCAAGCCCTGGCTCAAGGGTCACTATGTTGTGTTCTTGGGCAAGACACATTAAACTCTCAGTGCCTCTCTTCACCCAGCAAAACAAATGGGTAATTATGGTGATTTATCAACAATTATTGTTGAGCAACCTAACAAAAATTAATGCCGGGGGAGGGGGTTACCTGCCATTGGATTAGCATCCATTCTGGGAAGTAGCTGCAATACTCCTAGCTGCTTAATCACATGCTATGGGAACCAGAGTAAGCGCTGATCTGGTAAGCTAGGCTTGTAAATAGTTGGGGGGGGGGGGGGGCAGGGGGCGGGGGGGCGGGAGGAGCAAAGGGGACAAGAAGTCTACAGGATGGCCGGAGAAGAGAGGGTGGGAACCGGAGAAATAGGAAAATTTTTTGCAACATTGTGTGATATTTTTTGAAAAGAGGAAAAGCACAGAGGTGGGAACCACAACAGAAGGGGCGGGAACAGGGAGTACAAGGTGTGGGAAGTTCAGACCCACCAGTCTCTCCCCCCCCCCCCCCCCCCTCCGGATATGTTAACTACAGTCAACCCCTGCTTTATGGACACCCGCTAATACGGACATGTCATTATTTCAAAACCTCAAAGTTGTGGCTACTTGAAAGTAGTATTCCCAGATAGATGCTGATTCTATCTGATCCTATGGCATGTTGGAGTCTACAGACATCTCTTCTCATGTTCAAACCTAGCCTCCTACGCAGGCTTTATTTGGGCAGCTCATCACGCAATCGCAATCTCTCCTCCCCCAGGAGAGAGATTGCGTGACGAGCCCAAAGAAAGTCTGTAGGAGGCTAGTTCAAACCATTCCTTCAAGAGAGATGTCTGATCTTTTTTCCCTTGAACGTTGCATCACCGCTTTGCCTTCTCGCCCCCCAGAAAAATTAGGAAAAGAAAGAGACTGCTCGCAGTCTAATCCCATCTGAGACTCGACCAGTAGAAACATTCTATAAGTGTTGCTGGTTGGCTGTTGCTCAGTTATGATTCAATGTTTGTGTGAGTAACAGTCAATCAGGGAACAAAGCAACTGTTGTGCTGCATCACCCGGCAAGTGATACACTAAGTTGCTTATCAACTTGAAGTTGATAAAGGTAAATTAATCACCATAGCAAATTTGGAAAGCTGACATTTCGAGTGTTAGCCCTTTGTCAGAACAAAAAAGACTCAAAATTGATTGCAAATAGCAATGTCAGGATTGTCAGAATCTGATTTCAACAGCCTTGTGATACTGTGTTGTCATCAGTTTGTGCTTGTGTTCCATGTTTTATTTTGCAATAAATTAAAAAAGATAAATCGCTCAAATGTCACTACTATAACAAAACAAAGAAATAAATCTGATCCAGACCAATAATAATAAACATAACGGTTACCATAAGTTAAGTTAACATAAATTTGTACATCTAAATTAACATTATGAGCGAAAACACCTGAACATGCATACAAATTATTATTAAACAACAAATCTCACTCAAAGTGCATTACCTATAGCCTGCGTGTAGACGTCTCCTATTTCCTTGCTTCACGCGGAATAGGGTCTGTTCCGCGTGAAGCAAGGAAATAGGAGACGTCTGCACGCAGGCTACATTACCTATCACAGATTTACAATATATCAACCACATTCACATATATAGTCTGTATGTTTTGCCTACATGTATCTGTCTCCTCACCCTATTATAAACCCTGCCTGCACCCACAGGGGATCAAGGCAAGGAGACGGCTGACACAATAATGTTTGTGCTCATTTATAGTAAGACAGTAAAACTGGATCAATTCTAGGACAGCCTCATTATTTAATACAAAGTGTATGGGTGCTCTGCACCATTTGCAACAGTTTTCAGGATTGGCCTAGTGAAACAGTAGATAAATAATGTCCCTTGCCCCATAAACAAACGAGGTGCAGATTATGAAGAATGAATGAAAATAGAGTGACGTAAATGAAATCAAAAGCTAATGAATGCTGAACAGACTTAATTTTTACACTCAGAAATTAAATCCTCACCCTCCTTTCCCCTCACCCCCACCCCCACCCCCACCCCACAGAAAAGAAGTGTGACAAGTGGCACCCAATAAGTGAGTTTTGAACTTGGTTCTGAGGCTCAGGAATCAAACAAGAAAAATCACATCAGGCTGATGAATTAATATTAATTAAATTATTTTGTTTTATACCTAAGCCTTGGAACCAACTCATGCCTATTGGATTGACAACAAATACCATCTACTTTCTATTCAGACTTATAAGAAGAGTAGGCTGGGGGAAATGAATAATTGCTACACTGCAAATCCTGACCACTAAAAAACATTCAGTGGCTCAGGTGGGATTCAAATCCATGACCTTCGGGTTACATGTCCACTGCTCTACCATCTGAGCTACAAAGCCACGATGGGAACAGTGCAGAGAAATTTGTCAATACAATTTGTCATAAAAAGTGATTCTCTTGATCAACCGACTCACACCTTAAAACCTCATATTAAATCACTTAGAACAGCTATAATTATAACAGCTCTCAGAGTTTTCTAAGCTCACTCGGGTAAAGCATTCTTCAATAAGTCAATACTAGATGGGGTTAATTGCATTGGAAACACGACTTCAAACTCTACCATCATGTCGGCCCGTTGATTAAGCTTCTTGGGTAATGGCAGCCCTTCACCTTTGATGCGCCGTTTTGCTCCAGGTTTGACAATACTGTTTAGAGGGATGTTGACTGTGCGTCCATCCAATGTGGGAACTGGTACAGAAGACGCCGTGGTGTGACCTGTCAGAGCATCCCTCAGGGACAAAGGAGCGGTGTAAAGAATGTTATTATCATGATCTCGTGTGAAGTTAGCATGCGGTTTGTCTTTGATTGTGAAGATAATATCTGCAGGAACAGTATGCGGTTTCTGGTCTCCCTCCTCTGGGAATGTGATTTTTGTACCCTCTTTCCAGCCCTTTTTGACATCAATTGTGAGAATTTTTTCTTCTGAGCGAGTTGTCACTCTGTCAAGATTCAGAACCTTTTTAATGATTTTCAGTTTCTTAGTGGTTCCCTCTAGCAGCTCCTCTAGTGTCACCATGAGGAATTTTTCTATTGGAGGATCCTGGGCCTTTTTGCGGTGAAATGACGACATGTCTTCGAAAGATGATGACCTCTGCCGACCGAAAGCGGGGTGTCCCTGATGATGGAAGGAATGAAAGCCTGCAGCAGCATCATTTAAGTCTGTTCCTCCAAACGCACCAGGCATACCAAACCCATGATCAAACATTCCTGAAAGAAAGCACACAATTAATAGACCCTTCCACGGTTTCCACCACCATCTTGACTGAAGGAGCAAACACCGCTAAAATTACAGTAAATGTATGGGATTTTGCCAGGTTTTCAAAATTAAAAAAATTGTTTTAAGAAAACAGCTATATAATAATAATTGATGCGAGTGATTGGTTGATTTGTTGCAGTCGGTCGGTCAGTTCATTGATTTCTTCCTTATGCTCTTTCAAAGCAACACAACAGAGTTTAAGAATATGTTGTCACTTTGAATTAACCCTCTGGTAAACATGTCCGTTCCCCTTGGAATTGACATAAAATCATAAATTTGATGACATCTGCAAGACGCTGAGAGGTACTTTAGGATGAGTTTAATTCAGAATGATCACATGTACATTTCAACTCCGGTGCGTTCGCGACTCAAATCCCTTGAGGCTCCAAAGTCCTAGATGCACGTGCCAGACATGGCGCGACATAGCTAATCAAGCATAACATGATTGGTTGAAATCATACGTAAAACATTAACACAACTTGTCACAACATCCTTTCTGCCCTGATTCTAAGATAATTAATAGTTTCTAGATTCATCTAACCAAAAACAAATACCATATTTGAACAGAAATACATTTGCATCAATGGGGGATACCAAAAATAAGCAGTAAATGTTAGAAATGTTATGATGAATAGATCTAGAAAGCTCATGATAATTATTCCTTTATTGCTTCATTTTCAATCCTTATTAAGACGAAATCCATTAGGAAATCGAGTAATATTTACGGTCAGTGGACAAAAATCCTGTACTATGACGCCATAAGCTTTCAGGCTTAAACTAGACATTCATGAGCCATACCTTAACGGTATTCACCAAATAATATAACTCCACAATCCTTAAACTCCACAATCCTTAAATTGCTTTCCGCCTTGAGTTTCCTCCGTGAATGGGTTGAGTCATGAGAGGTGGCAGCCATTTAATATCTTTTGTTATCATAAGAGATTTTAACAAGCCTTCCAGAAGATATACGATAATTATGTGTTCCCATAAGAATTTTCTAGAAAATGAAGGCCAGACAAATACCAGACAATGTTTTGCAATGTTTTTGGAAAGAAATGCAAAATGGAAGTTAATTCTGAACAAAATATAAAAACAAAACAAACAAAAAACAGACAAAGAAAAAACCAAATTGAGAATCACCTAAAAATTCATTTGGGAGAGTCTTGCCTATAGAGCTTTTGATATTCTTGGTCTTACAAAACTTTAAAGTAATAGGACAGTTTTAAAATATAATTAAATGAAGGTGACATTTGATCAACTAATAAGGTTAACCCACATTTAACCTATATTATTCATAAACAGAATATAATTATCTGGATCTTTCAAGAACTTTTCTTTTTTGTAAACACTTGGTTCAAGAAAGGATAGTTAAGCGTAAGAAATACAAAATGCCTTTACAAAATGCTTTGCAAGAGAAAACATGATAATTTATCCAAATATTACTGTATTTTTAAAGCCAAATTTGTTTAAAAAAAAAGCCCACAAACTGAAAGATTCCCTTAATTTTCCAAGTGACTGCCATCTTGATTATTGGTAACTGTTTACTATTGCTCAACAACAACTTGCTCCACAATAAATATATTAATTTTATATTTCACCAAGCCAGGAAACCACAAGTATGTAACAATTAAATTTTGACACAGAAGAATAAATCAGGTAATTGATACAGGTAATTATGTTTCAAAATATTCTGGCTGTGACAGTGTGTCCAATTAAATAGTTAAAATAATCATTCTAGTGGATTCAATGATCCCTAACAAGTGAATTATGTGAATTGAATTTCGCGAAACCTGTAGATAGTTTGTTGATCTACACGGGTAGAAAATATCTCGGGGAAAACGATCAAATTATTTTTAATTTTATCCTTTTACAATCTTATGCATGCATGGTATTTAATTAAGGTTAATTGGAAAACTCATAGTTTTAAAACCAATTGCAAGATTGAAGAAAAACGACTGCCATATGGTGAAATCAAATATAAACTTGAAAGACTCGTCGTATGAAGCTTTTAGATATTGTACTGTGTGAAATATTCCTTATATTGACTGAGGTACAGCACGTAACATAAACTTACAATGTAATATTTTCATCGGGATATAAGACTTAAATTATAAGACTTACATAATTGTAAATAAAATTAAAGCTCGATATTTCAAATAGCTAACCTCTGAAGGGATCGCCTCTTCCAAATACTCTTGAAAATGTTGACATAGGATCTCCATGGAAAGTAAATGCTGTAAATCCGGACGGCATCTCAAAATTAAATTCAGTAGCGCCCGCACTACTAGATGGAGGCTTCGTCGACGTTCCTTTTAGTCCTTCTTCACCATATTTATCAAACACTTCTCTCTTTTGAGGGTCGCTGAGAACTTCGTAGGCTTCTGCGATTTCTTTAAATTGATCCTCAGCTTCAGGGCTTTTGTTCTTGTCTGGATGAAATTTCAAAGCCATTTTTCTGTAGGCTTTTCGGATCTCATCTTCGGTGGCGTTGCGTGGAATATCCAAGATCTTGTAATAATCCTTCCCCATTGTTTTGTTGGCTGTCATAGAACTTTGTCCTTTTTCTTGTCTTTGGAAAGACTACATCGATTCTTTATTTTTCAGATGTGTCCAGACGTTTTCCCGAAGTTATTTAGATTAAAACCGTGACGTTAAACGTGAAAATTTACAGCAAACAACTTCATTGAAAATTATTTGCTAGAAAGTTCCAGCGTCCTCCATCTTGACCGCGCTACTTGGAAGACTGGGAAGGGTGTCCAGTTCCTCGCGGCTTTTGATGAGTCTTTCATATTTTGGTACAATTTTGGTTTGTTCAAAATATTTTTCGTCATTTCTCGAGGTAAAAACCCGTAAATTAATATTGTTTTTACACTTTGTATCAGAATACACGCGATTACAACTCTGGTTTAACTCCATAGCAATTTAATAGACGAGATAAAAATCCAATAAGAGCCTGTGCATAAGCTCCCTAGGGGGGCGGGGTGGTGTTTTGAGGAGAATAAAACAGCTGGAGTTCAAATCTTACCGAAAAACTAACAACTTTATATTGTAAGTACGCGCAATATTACTGCCGATACCCCCACAGTCAACGATGTTGACAATATAAAATGCCGTATCACAAACTCACACGACGTTTGCAATCGCGTGCCGCAAAAATTTCGTCAATGTTGGGGAATCGAATGTTCTGGAACGATCATAGCCTCCGAACGCCTGGAACAGGCTAGAACGATCATAGCTCGCAAATACGGAAGGGCAAATTATCAAAGACTTTTATAAACACGGAAATTGTAAATTTAGAAAACGGGTTTGTCAATATAGTCAATAGATGGTTCAATACCAAAATCGGACAGTCATGTCACATAACTAGCATTATTTATGCTTCAAAAAACCTTTTTGATCGGATAGACAGGGTCAAGAGAATATATTTTTCTCTTGACTCGCATATGCGTGACAGTAATGAGTCACACAAGGAATGCATGAACTTGCTTATGCGTGACAAAGTTCAAGCAGCGAGTCTCACTATGCCAATATCACAAGTATGTGTTTGTCCAACATTCTCTTGATCTGTGGTAATCTCCAAAGCAACCTTCACAGCTTTCAATCGCGTATAAAGGCTTGCTAGTCAACATAACAACTCAAGAAGATGGCAATGAGTAGAGAAATTCCAATCAATGTTCACCCCGAGTACAGAAGACAACAAACGACGAGCGAGGAGCAGGGAAAACCCCGCATTTTTACTCGATCTTCTAGTTTGCCCAGCGGACCGAAACTGAAATTGGTTATGGAGACTTTAAATCGGCCGAGCGGGGCTCGTAAGGGGCAAGCTTCAAAGGCAGAACACGAAAAAGCCGCAACTGAATGCCCGAGACAAGGAACGAATGGTACGAAAAGGAATCAAAATTACAAATTCTGGAAATCTAGCTTACCTAGGGATTTATATCCAAAGGTAGAATATTTGAGTGAACATGGGCCTTGTGAACAAAACGCCCGCGAAGGAAGGGAACAGAGAAGACACTTTTTCACGGAAAATCCTTTTGTCGAAGACTTGGAGAAGGTGTTTGAAGATCAGTACGCCTCAGCTTC